AGTTTGGGTTACAAAGGACCTTAAGATCATTCAGTTCCAACCCCTCCTGCCATGGACAGGGACCCCTTACCCTAGACCATGTCACCCAAGGCTCTGACCAACCTGGCCTTGTGGTTCTGGCTGTGATCAGGACAAATGCTGCATTTCTAGCAGTGCAGAATGATGTAGGAGAATTTAGTTGTCAGTAAATCAGCTTTGAATCCATCCTCATCTTCGTGCCTGAACAGAACAAACCCATTGCATAGGATAAACCTGCTTATTGCCCAATCACCAAACAGCCATTTCACTTAAAGGTCCTTCTGTTCATTCACTCACAGTCCTTCCGTCTGCTACTGGCCATGCCTGCTCTTTCTCAGGCACACTACTAAAGAGGAGAATAAATAGAAGGTATACTGTTTTGAAATTCCCTCTCTTATCAGGAGTTCTGACATTTATGTCAGAAGAGCCTGAACAATAGTATACAGACAGAAAGTGAAACCATTAACAGGACGTTTGCTCTCACTGTAGAATTGTACATGTGTATGGGTTTGTTAGGTAAGACCCAAATCCAGTTTGTATCATACAAACTAACTTGTATCATTGTTTTCTGCCTAGACCATGGTGATAAATTCTACAGTTAAATTACACCAAAAAAAAAAAACTAATTAAAATTATTCCTCCTCTATTTGCTTGGAACCTGACATATGAGACTACCACATGATAATGTCTATTTCTTGTACTGTGAGAGTGCTGTGGTAGTATTCTCAGTTGGCATTGCCTTTAGTTTTCATTAAAACATTCCTTAGTTTTCATCATCCATGTTGTCATTCCCCCTATCTTTAGCATTTCTTTTATACACTCGTTAAGCCAAGGAGACCAGGGATGCACATGTACAAAAGAAGCATTCCTCTTTGTTTCTCTACCTTTTCCTTACTAATTCCTAGTATTTTATTTGCTCTATTACAACTGAATATGCAGCTGACATTCATACTCTTAGAATTCCATAATCTTTTTCTTCAACACTTAGTTCAAATCCCTCCACTATGAATGTAGAATGGAGGCTGTTTCCTCACATGCAACTCTTCACATTCGTCAGTGCTAAATTTCCTTTCTGACTTTATTACAATAATACTAAGTATCAAGAGAGCTTCTCTCACCCCAAGGTCAACTTTTAGTTTTATTTCTTATATTTAGCTCCACTGACAAACTTTGCCATATACCTACTCAACCTCTGTTCACTAGCTCTTTAACTTACCTTTACATCTGAAGACAAAGGTGGAATCTCAGTTTCAGCCATAAATCCTCAAAATATATCACTGAAAAGGAAGACTCTGAGAACCATCACGGGTAAGTGTGAAAGAATTTAATATATCAAGACTGGGAAAGGAAGGAGATGGGAGTCAGCCAAAGCATTTGGGAATGAGTAACACCTGGTCACTGACAGTAACTAGGAATTAAAGAGCTGCTAAATGCAACAACATTTTAACTTTAGGATTTGTTGTATAAAAAGACTAAATTATTTATAAATTGAATTACACATCCTCATAAGAATTCTCCTTCCAGCTCTCAAATAATGACAATTGCTTTTAAGTTTAAAATTGCCTTAAAATTCTTCTCTTACAACACAGATTTTGTCACTATTAAAAATGTAGCAGTGAAGTTTAATTGCTTTTCTTATGCAAACAGCTTTTGAAATAGAGGCAGAGATGTAAAACTTAAATGCTTTCTTATAAAAGTGTTGAAATGTATTTTAAATTCGCCTTCTGATACTACATTAGTGTAAGCGCTATGAAGAAAAAAAACAGAGTGTTACTTTGGAAACCGACACAGACTTATCACTGGGTGTTCAATTCAATACCTATTAATGCTTATACATATGGTATTAATTCTGCATTAATTCTGTCAAAAATGATATCATACTCTGAATGTCCAAATTATGACATCACTAAAACAACTTTGCTCTTCGTGGGTTTGGATCATGACTGTGCCAGAGTTGGCTAGAATTTATTCATGCAGCTGATTCTGACAAGTTTGGTTTAATTAGTTCATGCCCTCATAATGAACAAGAGACTGTGTTTTTGAAGATTTGCCAGAATAGTTTCTATTCTCTTCAACTTAAGTGCCAAATGCATGCACTTCTTTATACTATTTATACCTTTGCCTATAATTACTGTTCCCTAAGGTGTGATTGTCCTATTTCATAAGAGTTTGTGCAGCTGCCAACATGAAGATGTAAATAAATTGTAATACCGTTGCTATGAGGTGTAAAAATCCCACAGCTCATATCCAGACCCTTGTATAATAAACTCAAGTAAACATTCCATTTCCTGTAAGCGATTGTGGTTTGTGACTAGATTTAAAAAAGCAGTGCAGTAAGTCATCACTTTTTTAATGATTTGCTGAAAACAAAGCCATGTAAGCATGAAACAAAAAACAGCTATGTACAAACATTTACTTTTTTGAAGGAGAAATATCTACATTCAAAGTTGCATAGTTCAGTGTTATTTGATAGTGTTTGGAAGCTGGTCTCATTTCCATTCACTGTGGAAAATCTTGAGATGCAGCTGATAACGACAAAAGCAGAGTCTAAAGACTTCTACATAAAGGTGGCTTGAAGGTCACCTCTCCACTATTTTGAGCTTACTGTGACCTTTGCAGAGATGTTGTCAACTCCCTGCATTTCTTAAGATGCTGTGGTTTTATATATTAGATGTTGAACACCATGGCCAGAGGTGAAGACAGGAAAGATTTGATCAGATCTATCCCTCCGAAGAAGTGAAAGGGTGGAGAGCAGGAGGCCTGCCTTTCAGCACTATTTGCACCTATCTTATATAGAGGATCCCTTTATAGGCCAGGCAAACTGTTTTCTCCCTTGCTTTTATGAGGAAAACACCCATGCTTTACTGAAGAATATGGTTTGTTAGTTTTCCCTCAACTGACAGTGGTTAAACAATCACTTTACTCCTATTTTCTTGTCATGGGAGATGTTCTGCCTTCTGTCCTCTTAACGAATTTGCACCCACAGTGTAGACATATCATTTGGTATAAGAATTATTTAAACAAAAGGCAGGCACATTTCAGCAGGAAGCACGAGTTCAATGCTGGTGACAGGCACACTGTGAAAAAGTATAAAAACATATCAGTGCTCACATCTTTTCAATAGAGAGGTTCTGCATATGTTAGCAGAGCAGATAAATGGACACCTATGGGAATAAGATGAGCACACGAGTCATGTACATCTAACTTCATGTGTTAAGCTGACCAGGGAGTAGCAATAAAACCTTCAGGACACTCTACATCAGCAGGTGGTTTACATCATGATACAAATAAGCTAGTTTACATATGCTGCAGGATTTTTAAGTCAGTGCCTGTAAAGCTGCATTGCCTAAAGACCACAAATTTCCATGACCCAGTTTCAACTGAAAAATTGGAAGTTAAAACTAATACTTTTATTTTGGAAGTTGGTGCTTTCACGAGGCTGGGACAGTAGGTCAGGAGCTCAGCACTAACTTCTTGCAGGACCATAGTTAACTCATTTCACCAACTCATCCACCCTTCTCCTCTTTCCCTCTTTTGAATGTAAAGTGCCCATGGTAAGGATTGTCTGTGACCCTGCATTTCTGCAACAGCTTTTCAGTGGGGCCTCAGTTGCAGCTGCAGGCAGCAGCCCAATATGAAATATTTTGAAACATTAACAATCACTTACATAGCTTCGACTTTTAAACTCTGGTATTTTATATTATATCAAGCCTAGTAGAAGGAAAAAAGGCCATATCGTGTTGGGAAAGGGGGAATCCCACCTCTACCATGGTATAATCTATTTCTGGTCCTAACAAACTGTAGGTTATTGAAATATTAACCAGTCATTAGCCCAGGACTGAACATTACATGGCCTGGGAATCAGTCCAAGGTAATCTGGGGGTGGGAGGGTGGCTCAGAATTCCAGGTTTGTGAGGAAAGCAAGAAACATTTTCCTGGCAGGTTTGTTTAAAAAAAAAAAAAATGGCATCTGTTTTTAATTGCTGGGAGGGTCAGATTGTTAAAAACAGTCCCAGTGGAAATGGATTAGTGCATGGGAGGATGTCAAGGTGCAAGAGAAATGGAATTTTGTGTCTAGTTCCGCAGTTTATTATCCGGACAGGAGCTCCACGTACTGCATGTATGTACACGCAAAACACCCAACATTATGGATTGGTGTAAAAGCATTGTTGTTGACATGGCTTTGGAGTGACAGCATTATACATGTAAAGCAGAGCTATAATCCAGTGAGTTATGCAAGTTACACAAACTGAGTGTGAGTAAGCCCTTTCTATCAACACCACAAACTGCATGTTTTATTTAGAACACATTTTTTAAGAAAATTATTCTAGAAATGTGTAAGGAAATTTAAATGGCCATGTGCTTTCTGTCTTTTGTTCCTGTCTCTGTAATGTTAAATTGGGTCTCAAAGTGTATCTTGAATCGGCATCTCTTCAAAAGAGAGAATGAAATAAGACTTATTCTTGTAGATAAGGTATCTCAAAAGTCAGTATGTCAAATATAGGGCTTGGTGTTTGTTCATACTGGAACATCATCATATCCTTCCAGGTGACACTCTTCAATTTATGTTCTTTTTATTATAAGACTTGTTTGAGGAGGCCTTGGTGCAAGTCACATCCAAGTCTATAACTCAGATCCCAATCTCAGTTCTGTTGAAATAGGTCAGGCTACTGCAATGCAGAAGTCTGGCTGAGGAGTAGGACAATATTTGTTTGGAAACAGGAACAGCCTTTGCATAATATAACTGAGGTCTTGAAGTAAAATAAAGTCAGAAAAGACCATGAAGCCACCCAGATTTTGTTTCAGCTTATGCAAAAGGATCATCAAGTATAATTAGAAGAGGTGCCTCTGTCAGAGGTAGTCCTGTTTAAATGGTGAATGTTATCAGGTTAACAAATATGACCACTGTAATACCTGGGTTTGGATTCAAAACCAGAGCCTGCAGATAAGATCCTGCTATATTCAAGTCAATGCTAAGTCACTCACTGACATGGCTGGGATGAAGGGAAAGGGCAGATGTTCATCCTGATGCTGTTAGACCCATTATTCATCTAGCACCAAGCTTCAGTTCCTGCCTCTGACACTTTCTGCTCCATTTGTACTCTATGCCATGTCAGTCTTTAGCCAGGGGCATCCTCATTTTTTCAGCAAGTTCAGGTAAGGGTTTTTTCAACTTCAAGAAAAGGAAAAAAATTAGGAAAAAATTAGGAAAGCAGCTTTCTTTTACCTTTTTTCCTACTGATTATTCTAATGAATTATTCTACTTACAGTCACTTGTAATTCTCTGAGTGACACACTTCTTAAACATTTGTTTCTCTTCCATATTTCAGCTTAGAATCGTAGTTCACATGAAATTGTAACTCCCTGCTAACAGTTCAGCTACTCCTTTTTTCTGCCTGAGCTCTTGGAAAACTTTGTAAACTGGTGCTTTCCAGTTTCTCAGTTTATTGCATCAACGGTGAATTCCTCTGATTAAATTCTTTTTACAGATACTTCAGCTTTATTAAAAAGAGTATTGATACAAACATCATTTATTTTTTCTCTAGTATCTATGTTATCTATAACTTCTGAAGGCTGCAAAAATGAATCAAGTTTTCTCACAGTTCCCAACCAAGACACATACAAACATATTGTTAATATTTTGGGTTGTTATTATGATCACTCTTAATTTTATACTTATTACCTCCATAATTCTAATATTCCATAAATTTGCTCCTTTCCTTAAATACGAGTAGATTATTATTTTCTAAAGGCTACTATTTTGTCTTAAATAACATCTTGAACCTTGCAATCCAGCCATACTAGCTTTTAATAGGCTTTCTATTTTCTTTTTTGTTAAGGTGCATTCATTCCTCTGTGACTCCTGGGATGCCTAAGAAGCCTCCATGCTGAGTGTAAGGATTTTAATTTCCTCACTTTTGACTTTAGGGTTTTTTAACTAACTTTCCCCCTGAAAAAAAAAAATTCATTATCAAAAGTTTAGTGTCACAGTCCCACATTTGGTTCAATCACTCCCTTGAGAATGCTGAACTTAATTATGCTGTGGTCACCATTAATTAGTGGCTCAGCGATAGTTACTTCTTGAACCAACACTTGTACATTACATAGGACAGAGTATCTTTCCCTCATGTGTGCTGTAGAATCAACTGCTATAAAAAAATATAGTCTGTGAGGTCAAGAAGTTTTCTCTCTAAATCACCCATTGGAAAGGATGAATTTCTATGCAGATAGCTGAAATGCTCCATTACAACCATTTATTAGTCTTGGTTGCCCTATTTGTGCCTACTGACACTTCACACTTCAATATTAATAGTAAGTTTTTGTACAATAGGAAATTCTGTCATAGGTTATTAAAATTGTAGTATATGCTTTCATGCTAAATTGACTTCCAATATCAAGTCTTTCCAGGACAAAAGGATTGAAAATGTTGGAAAAAAATGTAATGTTGGTATAAAGTTCTCAAACAGCATTGTTCAATATAATTTTACTGATTTGATGGTTAGTAACAGATGACCTACACTAGTATTCTTATAAACTTCTTGTAAATTTTTTTGCTGCATCTGTTCTATTAATTCTGAGTTGACTATTCACTGAATTCTTCTGTATGATTATGATATATTGTTACTTCTTCATCATTATAAGACACTGTGCGCCCTACTGTTGACAGATGTCTTAGTACTCTGTAAGTATTTGTAATATGAAAAAGGAAGTCCTTTATAGATGTTCAAAATACAGATATCTTATACTAAACTTTCCAAATGGTCTTCTTAATTTCATATTTTATTTGTTGAAAATGTTTACTTTTTTTTATCTCACATTAATGGTTAGTGAGCAAAACCATTCTTAGTTTTTTACTCTACACTTGGAACATAATTGCAATTTACATTTTTAATTTCTTAGGCTTAAAGAGGTTAAGTTGTTTACAATTATTCCTGTACTGAAGAATTTCTGTATTGAAGTCTGCTTTCCATGAGTTCACGCAATCTTTGAGAATCTGGTCCTTGTTGCACCAGATGCTCACAAACAACAGCAAAGATACCATTTTCAAAAGAGAAGGCTGGAAGATAAAATCCTTAGAGGAGCTAGGCTTCAACCACATCCAGTGTGCCTGTATGCCATCGCTCCTAATTTACAGCGTTCTATCCTGGCAGACAGTGTCTTTCCTGCAGAATTCCACTCTGTGACTTTACATAGCCCAGAAGATGTGCTAAATCTGGATGTTTCATCCCTCAGATGTAATTGACATATTCTACAATCTGGCATAATCTGTTTAAATAGAAGAAATGAGGGCAATGGTGTCAGTGATGCCAGAAGAACCAAGCTGACTTACATGGTTATATATAATGGTCTATAAAGCTCTGTGTACTCCATTTTCCTCCTTTCTCTAAAAATCTCCACATATGACAAGTCATATATGTCAAATAACTAGTCTAAAACCTTATAGTGAGATTAAAACATAGGATTTGTCTCTTTACAGCTGCAGATAAATGCCTAGTCAGTGAGAAAGTACAGCACTGTATTCTAGGTTCTGATAACAAATGCCTTGATTTGAGAATGTTTATATCCAAAAACACTCATTCAGCCTAGGATATAGATAGCTATGATTTAAACTTCAGACTGTGAAATTCCTCTCCAGACTAAACTATACGTACACCCCAAAAAGAAAAAGAAAGCAAAAACGAAGAAGGAAAAAAGAGAGGGCTGTGTATTAACTTTTTATTTTTATAAGATATCTTTCAAAGACAGAAAAGAGAAATAAGCCCAGTGATGGTGGAAATTCCAATGTCTCAGGTGAAAAAATGTTAATAGAGCTTTTGGATATGGTTTTATGCTTTGCCAAGAAGGAAATGGAAAATTAAGAGGTTCTTGGAAAACGAAGAGGTTTTGACTGAAGATCAAGACACTGACTCAAGAGAGGCTGAAATTCTACAAAGGCTATTGCCAGCTTGCGTCAGTGAGAACAAGTGGAAACAAACCAAAGATATTTATCAAGTTACATTGCCAGATGAACCTAAAAGAGAAAGAAAAATGTGTTTATTCTTAAATTTTGTAATTGCAACTCCTCAGCAGCAATTCTTCCTCACTGTGGCCCTGCTTCTTAGCTCCCCTAAAATATTTTTATTCTGTTTTTATTTTCTTTCCCAGAGTTTTTGCATTATCTAAGGGATCCACAAATCGCTTTGTTTTAATTTATGTAACAAAGGGGTTAATATTCCTGATGTTTTCTCTGCTGGGATGCCAAACAGGGTCACCAGATGTGATTCATAAGTTGTTCTTGCATGCAGCTTAGCAAAAGCACAGCTGTGGTTACACACTGGGGGTGGAGGAAAAGGGGAAGAGATCCTGACCCCGTTGGAGTCAATGGGAGTTTTACTATTTACTCCCATGAGGCCAGAATTTCACTCTAAGTATCTACGTGGGTCTCATTATTTGTTTTCCTTTGTTCAAAAGGATCCTTACTGTCACCATTGCCAGATTTCATTGAGATTAGATGTGAACCAATAATGTATTTAATTATTATTATAATCACCAATCTGCAATATTGGATGACAAGTAAAACATGACTGAAAGTTTTAACTCGTAATGAAACCTGATTTTGTTAGAGAAAATGGTGCATGTATCCTTTTTTTCTCAAAGTATTTGTCTTCTTCAAAAAATACTGACATCTAAATGTTAGCATTTGAACAAAAATATTTTATTCTGGTTTAAGTGTGCACGCACACACACACACACACACACACACACACACCCCTCCCCCGTGCACACACCCCCAATCACCCTGTTTTCTTTTACACAATTTACAATGTTTTTAAACAATAATCCAGGCAGGAACAAAGGTTTAGTTGCCTCTAGCACCATCTGCAGAACCATCACTGAACTTGGTTTTCTGTACCGTGTTTGTTTCTGAAATATGAAAAACTACATTTAACTCAATCGCAGATTTAACAGAATCTTCTGTTTTATCAGTGCATTATCTCTTAGTTGATTCTAAGTACATTCTTATCAGCTCAACAAGCAAAAAATTATTTTTGCTATAACTGTGGTTAAAGTAGCTTGAGAAAATATTACAACTACATGGGGGTAAGAGGAACATAGATGAAAAATTAAGAGCTAAGATTATGTTAAGAAGGATCTTAGATTTTGGTCAGATAAGGATCTTTCTTAAGCCACTTTCCACCACTTTCCGCTTATGTGAAAGCTAATCTATGATGATGATTTTCTGTGGCCTTAGCTCCTCTCATTCTTCTGTCTACTAAAGATAGGGCTTTGATACCAGATCATCTAATTTCTCCATGGAAATGGGTGCTCCATGATCTCTATAAGTTCTGGACAGACACACATGTGAGACTGGAAATGTAATTGCATAGATCATACTCAGTGTACTTGAGTGTACTTCTTGTACTTGAATTCAGCTGTGAGATGGTTGACTGTAAAGCAGATAGACATGTAAATCTTCCTGTATAAATCCCACTGACATTTTTTCTGCTTGTGCTGTCTTGGCTTTAACAGGATCAAATAAGATTCATTAACAACAAAGAAAGACAATTATGTGTTGGCAATCAAAATTTCCTATTAAAAAATGGTGGTAGCTACAGTGTGATTGGAAAAATAGAGTCCCTCTTGTAAGACTTTCATAAAACAAATCAGTATATGTCAATATCTTTTATATATCTACTAGTTTGCTCACTGTACATGTAACCGTCGGCACAATGCTTTCACCTCAGAAATTGAGAGAGTGTTTTTTTCAAACCCACACAGAAACACCATCAACTGTCATTAGATAAATACTTAAGAAAGGACAGACATATTCTGTTTCTTAACCATATCCCAGGTAACTGCAATGACCTAAAAGCAGCTGCTGGTTGGCTCATCGAAGAACATGAAAATTGTAGCATTTTCTTCCAAGGTTTAATATAGAAACAGCACCGAAGAAATATCCATGTTTTAATAAGTATTATGTCTACACCAGCACATTAAACATGCATGTAGCTGTTCTGAGTCCATACTACAAAACCTTCTGGGCTTTCAAAAAGAAGTGACCAAATGCAAACTCCCTGCTCTTCCTAGACCTTTGCTAAATTCCAGGTTGAATCCAGGAACTGTTTGTGAAAGTGCTTGCTGAACAGGGCCAAAACTATGCAGGGACTAGATAAATTCTAGCAATTTAACAGT